AGTCGCAGAGGAAATGTGACAAAGCACACAGAAGCTAGAAATAAAAGTCAAAATCTACACCATCAAGCCTAAGAATCTTCAGTTTTGATTAATGATGGACCCAAACCAACACAGTTGTCACGTTCACATGCTACAAAAGAAATCCATCTGCATCACTGACAATATACTGTAGTAAACTGAACCAAATGAGAAAAATCCCAGCAGCAAAGTTGCTGACAAATCTTTAGCCGATTGCCAGGGTAGTCCGGTACAGGAATGTCAAACGAAGCGAATGTGCTGTAAATAAACCTTTATTGTATTGTATGATATTGTCTGAATATAAATCCCTAGGAAGCGCCACGAAACAAAAGACATATTGATTGATGTTACTGCCGTGGAGCAGCACAGTTTGTCTACAAAATAAATGAGACGAAACAGCAGTCTAGACATACACACCAAGTTTTCATGTGCAATCCAGGTATCAGAGTGCATCCAGGAACAGCCTGCTGGAATCACTAACCTGGCATTCACAGAAGATGGTGCCACCCAGGAGGAATGTATCTTCAGCCATGAAGTTCCTGGGAGGATAGAGTGCTTAAGTAGTTTGAAACATATTCTAAATTTACCTTTCCTGTGATTTCTTTCTATTTGCAAAATTTATTTTGAAATGTCGATTATCATTAAGGTAGAATACAAAAAAAAATTTTTTTATGTGAGTTAAAGTTGATTTTGTTTTAAGGAAAAAAAAGCTAAAGTTGACAATCAGTCCAAATAATAGTGTCCCACATAAGTTTAGTTGTGAATTGACAACCCTAAAGACCCTCACAAACTCCAGTATTTTGCCAGCCTAAGAACTCTCCTCCATGGGCAAGCTAGCCTAGGCTGAACCGGTCCATCCATAGCTGGAGGGACAATTCTTTTACCAGAAAGCATTTGTGAATCCCCCATGTGCAAAGAGCCAACTAGCAGAATAGCATGCGGAGGAAATTCCCAGAAACTCCCCTACGGAAGGATAAATCGTCACCCATTCACCATGGGTTTAATGGGAAGCCCGAATTGGATGTATTCCAGTTTCCCAGTCTATATCATTAAGAAATCTTTGCCCATTTGAGTCCTCTATCATTGGAATTAACTGTTTTTTTCTCTTCTCAGTATTGCTTCAAAAATCATATAGGTATAGTCTTAAAATATACAAGAATTTAAAATTCTGGTATTCTAAGAATATGTGAAACATCTTGGGATTAATCCCTTATTCATATTTTAGGGCATTAGATTAATAATGACTGAGTCATCTTGAATCATCTACTTCCCATCAAATAATGCACTATTTAAGTGGTTTGTGCTTTGGTATTTATTAGTACGTTTCTTCTAGCACTACACACTTTACAAACATCATCACACGCTACTCAGAACAACTTTATAACAGTTGGCAAGTGCTACTTTCGTTATTAAACATGGAAATGAAAACGCAGATGACAGCATCTCATCTCAGTAATAGAGCTCAACCAAGGGCAGGGGAAGTTGCCCAATGTTCTGTTCTGTGCATTTTTGCTCTTCCCAAAGCCACAATAAAATGACAGCCCACAGTGGTCAAGGCAACAGTTTAAAATGTAATTGATTTATCTATTGTTTAACATTTAAGCTAGGAGTAATGAACCATGGGACCTATGTTCATTTTGTTTGCTCTTTTTAGATTGGTTAATGCAGCACAGAAAGGCCTTATATATATATATACTTTTAACCATATCAAGCAACCAAATGTTTATGAGTCTAAGAGGTACAAAGGCCTTGAATATTATTTCAACCTATTTGAATCACTAATAGTATTCACCTTTGGACAGGTTATCTGTTACGGGCTTGGCAAAGATCTTTTTTTTTTAAGTTTCCAGTATAGATGGTGTCAGTACTGGAAACTTAAAAAAACTTCTCCATAGTTAAATACATTAAACTTTGCAGTAGAGATGCTCTATAATTATGAATTTGTTTATGAGCAATTCTCTGAGTAATTCACTTTGGTGAACATTTAAATAGGCATGCTTTCAATAAACGTAGAGGCAGTAAAATAAAAGTATGGGCTTTGGATCTGCACTGCTGGGTTCAAGTTCCATTTTTCACTGTGTGATCTTTGCAGCTTACTTCACCTCTCTGTGCCTGTTTCACATCTGTAAAATGAGAAGAATAATAATACCTACATTTTAGGTTTGTTACCAGGATTCAATGAGTTTCTACACATGAAGAGCTTAAAATAGTGCCTGATTCCAGCACTATTACCTTATTAATATTAAATATTAAGTTACTGCTGTGTGCCCACCAGCACCATGGCAGCTAATGATTAGTGGTGAGCTGATAGATGTGGTCCCTACCCTAATAGGCTTATATCCAAGAGTGAAAGACAAATGTGAAATAACTATACCATTATTTCATTTGAATTATGGTAAATATTAGGAACGAGAGGTCTAAGGTACTGGAAGAGTAACCCGTGGGAACTGAGTTGAGGGTTTGGAGATGATCTCCTTTAGGGAGTAATAAGAAGTATCTTCTGAAGGATATCTGGATATCCAGGCAAGGGAAACAGCATATGCAAAGGCCAGGCTGACATGAGCAAGGCTCACTGCAAATTGTAAAAGAAAGGCTGATGTGTTATGGTGAATAAAGCGAGTAGTGTGTAGCAGGAGATGAGGCTGAAAAGCCAGATTATGCAGATTGTTTTAGGTCATGTTAAGAATTTGAGTCTTTAGCATAAGAAAATAGGAAACCAGACCGGGTGTGGTGGCTCACGCCTGTAATCCAAGCACTTTGGAGGCCAAGGCGGGTGGATCACCTGAGGTTGGGAGTTCAGTACCAGCTTGACCAACATGGTGAAACCCCATCTTAAAAACAAAAATAAAAAATAAAAGAAAATAGGAAACCATCAAAGAGTTTAAACAATAGAGTGATATGAGCAATTCTTAAAAGTTCTCTTGACTACAATGTGGTGATTGGATTAGAGGGAGTAAGAGGGAATATGGGAAGAACTGTTTACATTAGTGCTATAATTCAGAAGACAGAGGATGGCCTTATAGAGAACAGTGTTGCAGGGAATGGTAGTTCAGGCTAAGGTAGACAGAATGGAGATGCAGAAAATACGAATGGGTTTGAGAGATATTTAGGTGGTAGAATCAATAGCCAATCAGCTATTGATTAGATACAGGGGTGGTAAGAGAAAGCGGGGGGGTGGGGGGCGGAGAGTGAGTAATCACTCCCCTTCTTCTGGTGTGTGCAGGTGGATGAATAATGGTACCAGTCATGGAGAGAGAGGACGAAATTCTGAAGTTGGGGTGCAGGGAAGAAAAGATCACAAGGCTAGTTTAATGTAAGATACCTTTGAGACATTCATGAGGAAATGTTAAATAAGCAATAGAATGTTCTGGTGGGAACTCAGGAGCAGCAGCTCTGGGCTGAAAACTGAACCACAGTGCCTTGAGCAGGAATGGTCACGGGCATGTAGGAGGTCATCTAATGCAGACAGAGAAACAACCAGAGCCTCGTACTCCTGCTTGGGAAACTGGAACTTTCAAATATTTCATTAAGTAGAATGAGTTAGCTTTGGTGGGAGAAAAGTGGCCAGAGAGGTGGGCAGGAAAGCAGGCATGGATGGCTCACTTATCCCCATTCTGACGTCCTCCAGGGATGCCTTCCTGTATTGCAGAAGCCACACCTTTGCAACTAGGCTCTTTTTTTGGAATGAAAAAATTCTGAGAGACTTAATATATCCACCTTAGTGACTCACAACATTGTACTTGACCTCATAGCTGAGATAAAAATTCTTGAACCCTTGCAAAACTCGCACATTGCCTACTTTTCTCAGATTCTGTTTATCTCTTCTCAGCTCCCTCTGAATGACTGGTTTGCCAATGCCAGAGTACGCTGGCAAAGAGAAAAAGCCCAACAAGCATCAGGACTCCAGAGGACTGAACCACAAGGTTTTCCCCTCACCCAGTTTTCATTCCGGGGGAGGCGATCATACACAACTTAAACAAACAAGCTGAGCACATGACCATGGCAACTCTCATTGTTCCTATTTTTAATCTGGTCAAAGATCAATAGAATTGTAGATTTTGAAGAACTGTAAAGCTAAATCACGAAAATGAAATCACAATTCAGGAGGGGTGCAGTGGCTCATGCCTGTAATCCCAGGAGTTTGAGAGGCCAAGGCAGGTGGGTCATGAGGTCAGCAGATCGAGACCATCCTGGCCAACATGGTAAAACCCCTCCTCTACTAAAAATACAAAAATTAGCCAGGTGTAGTGGTGCGCACCTGTAGTCCCAGCTATTCAGGAGGCTGAGGCAGGAGAATCACTTCAACTCAGGAGGCAGGGGCTGCAGTTAGCTGAGATCCTGCTGCAGCGCTCCAGCCTGGGTGACAGAGCGAGACTCTGTCTCAAAAAAAAAAAAAAAAAAAAAAGAAATCACAATTCAGATACAAGTCATAGATTTAATTAAATCTATATGGATCGTTCTTGAAGTTTCTAGAGTTACATATAAAGGGCAATTATCAGATGTGGCTTATCACACATCAATCTTATCAGCATTGTTCGATTTCAGAAGAAACGTATTAAGGTGAAATTAGACTGTGCCCCCCAAGAAGACTTAGTAACTATGTGCTTTTGGAAATGAGTATATAAATTCCAGAGCTGTTCAGCAATGTAGTGAACAATGTCTTGTCCCTGATTGTACATTTTCTTTTGTGACATCATTAAGACAGAAGCTGAGTATCACTATAAATTATGTAAACCACCAGGCACGGTGGCTCACGCCTGTAATCCCAGCACTTTGGGAAGCCAAGGCAGGTGGATCCCGAGATCAGGAGTTTGAGACCAGCCTGACCAACATGTTGAAACTCCATTCCTCCTAAAAATACAAAAATTAGCCAGGTCTGGTGGTGGGCATCTATAATCCCAGCTACTCAGGAGGCTGAGGCAGCAGAATCGCTTGAACCCAGGAGGTGGAGGTTGCAGTGAGCCAAGATTGTGCCGTTGCACTCCAGCCTGGGTGACAGCAAGACTCCATCTCAAAAAATAATAATAATAAAATAAATAAAGCTTCAGTCAGAATAATTCAATCTGTACAGGGTAATATTCTCATTGTCTTTATTACAAATGGTGAGTGATTAGCATGAGACCTATGACTTAATGTAAGCCCCGTGAGAGCAGGGACCTCATGCCTTGTGCTGTTCACTGGCATCCCTCTAGCATCTGTAACAGAGCCTGAGATATGGAAGCTGCTCAACATACATTTAGTTTTCTAATTTTTATTTTGAATTATAGTTAATTCCTGAACAGCATGGGTTTGAACTGTGTGGTCCACTTACATGGAAATTTTCTTCCACCTCTTCTGCCCCTGAGACACCAAGACCAACCACTCCCTTCGTCTTCCTCCTCAGCCCACTCAGCGTGAAGACCATGAGGATAAAGAGCTTTACGATGATCCACTTCCACTAAATGAATTGGAAATATAGTTTTTTTCCTTATGATGTTTTTAATAACATCTGAGTCTCATCACCTTCCATAAATTTACTGATTTGCTAAATTATGATATGAATATGAAGGAGTCTCATTCTTGCATTCCCCTATGAAAAACAGATAGGAAACTAGAGTACAATATTTGTATCTAGCTCATTTTGCCTTTTCCTTTACAATATACCATCAAAATACTGTTTTCCAAAGTAACTCTGACTAGTGCTTTTTTCTCCCACCCCTTCAATATGGTTATGTTATTCATTCATAACATAATTGTAGTAAATTCATTTATACTTTAAGTATTCCAATTTTCTCCCATCCCCATTGTTTTAACCACTCATCTTGGGAGTCTGTAAAGCATTAACGTGGCTCTAAGAGTCCACATTAGCATAGTTCTAAGTATGAACATGGTTAGCAAAGTATCTCTCCCTGAATCCTGTGACCCCATTCTCAGCACTACCATTCTTTCCCCTCTGTTCTCTCCCAACACCTGTAGGTAACCAATTTCAGCTCCTAATTTACTCTTTGGAACAAGTGAGGAGATGTATGTATATTTTCTTATATAATGAACTTTTATTTTTTGAGACAAAGTCTCGCTCTGTTGCCTAGCTGGAGTGCAGTCGCATGAACACAGCCCACTGCAGCCTCAACCTCCTGAGCTCAAGCACTCCTGTCTCAGTCCCCTGTGTAGCTGGAACCACAGGGATGTGCCACCACGCCAGGCTAACTTTTTAATTTTTTGTAGCAACAGGGTCTCCCCATGTTGCCTAAGCTGTATAATGTTCATTTTTACTTGAAGTGTAGAATATTATACTCTTGTGCTGTGCTTTTTTCACTTATATCCTAGACATGGGATATTTGCTAGTTGTGCTAGTTGCAGTCTGTATCAGATCATAGAGCACTTCCTTGTTCTTACAGCCGCATAGTACTGCACTCAGTGGATGTTATTCAGCCACTTTTCCATGTATGGGCATTTAGGCTGTCTGTAATATCTTACAGTTAACAACCAATGAGCAAGTTGCCCAAACCCTATGTCACCCACAATGATTGCCCCATCTCCCTGCCTCAGGCTCACACCCATGACCATGTGGAGGGTTCTGTACAACCAGGTGGTAGAAGAGGAAAGAGCCCAAGCTTGCTTCATAAATTGGTCAGTTGAGTAGATGAATGCAAGGTGAAAATATTCCTGTCTCACGCCCACCCCACTGCAAGTCTTTGTGGTGAGCAATGAATAAGCTTGTGCATGTGTATTTCATATTGTTGGAGGTATATCTAAAGGGTAGAGTCCTACAAATGGGACTTGTAGTTCAAAAGGTAAGAGTATATATATGTGGTTTTTGTATTGACAAATTGCCTTTTTTTTTTTTTGCTTTGCTTTTTCTCCCCCAGAAGCTATATGCTTCCAAGACTAGCCCTTTAAAACAAGCATATTTTTAATTCTCTTGTCTGTAGTCTGTGCTCTGAACTCCTCAGACACTATTTTGCTAGTTTCAGACTTAGGATGGACCTATTCTTTTTGGCAGTGGGAGATTTAGGATGGACCTATTCTTTTTGGCAGTGGGTTTAAATCAACCTTAGACCCCATTGCTAGCTCCCTCCATCTCCTTCCTCTGTGGTTTTTCTCATCTGTCTGTGCTCATCACATTGCATGCTAGGAATACAGCTTCGGCCAGGTGACCTACTGGGCACTGTGTTTCCTTCTTTGTGGTAGGAGATGTGAGTGCAAGAATGTATCTTTTAATCTGGAGGAGGTATCCCAGCACACTTCTGATTACTGAACCCCTGAAAGCTTTCCTAAAGTGCCAGGTCTCTGAATCTCCACTGTCCTACCAAGACCTCTCGAATGCTGGCTACCTCTTGTTTGTCCTGCCCAATCAGCATGATGTCACCCATGTAATGGATCACTGTAATGTTCCGCAGGATGTCCAGACTGTCTGGGTTTCTTCATACTATATGATGACAGAGGGTGGAAAAGTTCACAACATCCTGGAGCAAAACAGTCAATTAATGCTGCTGTCCGTTCCACATGAATACAAACTGCTGCTCTTCAAAATAGAAAAGAGCACATTTGCCAAATCAGTGGCCACATTTCATGTACCTGAGGTTTTCATCATCTGCTTTAGCAACAATACTGCTCTGCTCGGCAGCTGCAGTAGGACTGCAGCTCAGTTAGGCTTGCGGCATTCTACAGTTCAGTGACTGCAAGCGTCAGACTGGCTGAGCAAATGGAGACATGATAGGAGGGACCACCACCTTGTATCCTTTGAGGCTTTAATAGGCATTAAACCCTGTGATGCAATATTGCTTTGATTTACTAATTTGGTCTGGGGGTGGGGGGCAGCTTTAGAGGCTCCTACTTAGCCTTCCCTATTTGTGATAGCTCCTACCCCACATACCATGACCCAAAGAAGGTGTTATTTCAGCTGCCAGGGCCCAAGAAAATGACCACTAAGTAGAAGGGGGACAAGCGAGGGGCTGATTGTACACATATAAAACATATGACTTCAGCCAGGGCTCTAAGGTGGGATGGGGAAGGGACACACGCAAGATGACATTTCTGATCTCGAGATATTCATGTCAATTAAGTCCCTGTGTCCAACAATCTTTGCAAAGTCTGGGTTTTTCCCTCCTCCCCAAAATATAGTAACCCAAGTAAATGGCCGTAGGTCCCTTTGGGACAGTCCTGGGGGAATCATCACGGTATTTCTTTGCCATGTTATTGCTGCCTCCACCTTCCTGGAGACTTGGCTCTATCTTCAGTCCATGAGCTCGGAATGTGAAAATTGACTTAGGTCTGGGAACTCAGCAAGGGAACTTGTAGAAGCAGAGGCTGCAGGGAAGAGGAGAGGTAGGGAAAGGGAAGATGTTGACCAAAGTGTACAAAGTTTCGGTTAGACTAGAAAAATACGTTTTCGTGATCTATCGTACTGCATGGTGACCACAGCTAATAATAATGTATTGCATATTTCAAAATTGCTTAAAGAATAGATGTTTTAATGTTCTTACCACAAAAAAACGGTAAGTTGGTGAGGTGATGCATGTGTTAATTAACTTGATTGAATCTTTTTTTAATGTATACATATATCAAAAAATTACATTGTACCCAATAAATATATAAAATTATCATTTGTCAATTAAAAATAATTAAAAGGCTGGGTGCAGTGGCTCATGCCTGTAATCCTAGCACTTTGGAAGGCTGAGGCAGGTGGATCACTTGAGGTCAGGAGTTCGAGACCAGCCTGGCCAACATGGGGAAACACTATCTCTACTAAAAATACAAAAATTAGCTGGGCACGGTTGTGCATACCTGTAATCCCAGCTACTGGAGAGGCTGAGGCAGGAGAATCACTTGAACCTGGGAGGCAGAGGTTGCCCAGAGCTGAGATCAGACCACTGCTCTCCAGCCTAGGCAACAAGAGTAAGACTCTGTCTCAAAAAAAAAAAAAAAAAAAAAAAAAAAAAAAAAAAAAAAAAAATTAAGAAATAAAAGAAGATTTGATTTTTTTCCCCACCCCTGTTAAAAGGACTAATATCCACAAGACAAGCAATAACAAATGCTGGTGAGGATATGGAGAAGATGCAACCATTGTACACTGCTGGGGAGAATGTAATTTTTTTTTTTTTTTTTTTACTTTAAGTTCCAGGATACATGCACAGAACATGTTGGTTTGTTACATAGGTATACGTGTGCCATGGTGATTTGCTGCACCTATCTACCCGTCATTTATGTTTTAAGCCCCCCATACATCAGCTATTTGTCCTGATGCTCTCCCTCCCCTCACCCCTACCCCCAACAGGCCCCAGTGTGTGCTGTTTCCCTCCCTGTGTCCATGTGTTCTCATTGTTCAACTCTCACTTATGAGTTAGAACATGCGATGTTTGGTTTCCTGTTCCTGTGTTAGTTTGCTGAAGATGATGGCTTCTAGCTCCATCCATGTCCTGAAAAGAACACAGTCTCCATCCTTTTTTATGGCTGCATAGTATTTGCATGGTGTATATGTCCTACATTTTCCTTATCCAGCCTATAATTGATGGGCATTTGGGTTGGTTCTATGTCTTTGCTATTGTAAATAGTGCAAACATACGTGTGTGTGTATGTCTTTATAGTAGAATGATTTATATTCCTTTGGGTATATACCCAGTAATGAGATTGCTGGGTGAAATGGTATTTCTGGTTCTAGATCCTTGAGGAATCGCCACACTGTCTTCCACAGTGGCTGAACTAATTTACATTCCCACCAATAGTGTAAAAGTGTTCCTATTTCTCCACATCCTCGCCAGCATCTGTTGTTCCCTGACCTTTCAATAATCACCATTCTGACTGGCATAAGACAGTATCTCACAATTATCATTTGTCAATTAAAAATAATTTTAAAAGAAAGCTTGATTTTTTAAAAAAGAAAACATAGTAGATATGCTTATTCCATACACAGGAACACATTGCCCTTAGATATATCTGAACTCTGACTCCTCATTTCTGTCTTGCATTTAAGCACCTTTCGCAAAAATATTTTATTCACTGGTGCATTTATTTCTTAATGACTGTAACAAATTATCACAAACTGGGTGGCTTAAAACAACAGGTGCTTTCTCACAGCTCTAGAGGCCAGAAGTCCAAAATCAAGGTGTTGACAGGGCCGTGCTCCCTTGGGAATCTCCATGGGAGAATCTGTTTTTCGCCTCTGGTGGCTGCTGGCAGGGAGCCTTGGTTTGTGGCCACATGGCTCCAGCTGCTGCTTCCGTCTCCACACTGCCTTCTCAGTGTGTGTTGAATCTCCCACGTCTCTTGTCTGAGGACACTTGTGATGGCATTTGGATCACCCAGATAATCCAGGATTATCTCCTCATCTCAAGATCCTTAACTTAATCACGTCTGCAAAGGCTCTTTTCCTAATAAAGTAACATTTACAGGTTTATAGGATTAGACCCTGATGTCTTTGGGGCCACCATTCAGCCCTCTACAGCTGGTATTAATAATCTTCACGTCAGTTTAATGACTTGGTTAAAACTATCTCTGCCAAAGAACCCAAGGCGCAGAAATGTTATTATTTATTTATTTAGACACAGGGTCTCACTCTGTTGCCCAGACTAGAGTGCAGTGGTTTGATCTCAGCTCACCACAACCTCCACCTGCTGGGCTCAAGCAGTTCTCTTGCCTCAGCTTCCCGAGTAGCTGGATTTACAGGTGCATGCTACCAGACCCAGC